AAATGTGATTTTTTTATCACCTAGTTTTATCAAGTATAACCCAAGAACATGTGTTTTTAGCTCTTTTTACTGTGGTTCATCTTCTGTTTTAGGTCCCATCAATAATTGTATACTAATTCCCTCAGCCTTCAATCCCTTGCCTCAAAGCTGTGATTTATGTTAGAAATATGCCCTGGTCTATTAGAGAAATGAGTATATATGCTTCTGACTGAATACATCAATATTATATATTTTCAAACTTGTTTTTCCTGTCTTAATTCTTCTGGTATAGCACAAATATGTTTTAAAATGTTTTTAGATTTATTTGTTTAATTTTTATGTGTATTAGCATTTTACCTGTATATATGTGTATTACATGTGTGTCTGGTGCCCTCAAAGGTAAACCACAAATAGATTTTATTACACACTGTGGCTTTCTTTACTAGAAAAAAAACAGTGAAGTGACAATATTATAAGTCATTGAAAAGATTTAATACCTGAACTATCCAGGTTCCTGGTGTCACTCTCAGTGAAAACCAATTTCAATTGTACTTGGCTATGCATATGGTGGGGGTGAGATGATCACAGTCCAGACCTGGCAGTAGAAAGGACCAAAGAAAGGCAGGGGGAACTTGCCATGGTCCTCACGAAGCACCTGGCCTGCAGGCTACTCACTCCACAAGGTAGAGCAAATTATGGTTTACTCTTCCATTCCATTCTTTTTTCCCCTTTTCTCTTCACTCTCTCCTTCCCTTCCCTTCTTTTATGGAGTCTTGTTACATGCAAACTCCTGGCAAACTGCCTTGCACTTCTGTCCCATAAAGCTACAGTGAAAAGGTGGGGGCCAGAGAGTGGGTCCAAAATTGACCCCAAATCTGATGGACACCTTGACTTCAGTGTTCCCATCCTCCATAAATGTAATGAACAAGTGCTTGCTGTTTAAACCACACAGCAGCCTGAGCTCAAGTAGGCTGGTAGGAGAAAGCTAGACTTTTATTTCTTTATCAAGAAGATGTTGGCATGACAAAGTTTAAAGAACTGAGTGCAGAATCTCATTCTTCAGCGGGATAAAGTCATCAGTCAGAAGCCAATTGTTTCCCACCTGATGTGGCCCTTTGATTTTTGTGCTGACGTATTTACCGTCTACTTGGCCTTTCATCTCCCTGAATTAGACTAAAGGTCCAAGGTGCAAACACATACCAAACTTAGTCTCTTCCTGTCCTTCTTTTGCCAGGGATAGAAGCCTTGTCCACTTTCAGAAGCTTCCATCACAGTCAAACTATATTTTACACTGCATAAAGTCCAAACTGCTTCCCTGGTCCCTGTGGAGCCCAGGCACCATCTCCCTTCCCAAGGTCACTTTCAACCCAGTTCCCCATCTCATAACCCCACCGGTTCTCTCAGTTTCCCCAGGACACCTGGGCCTCTGTACAAGCTTTGTTCAAACTGAAGCAACCACCTCTCCACACAGGTACATACACACTGCCAGGTGCCCTCCCTCGCTCTCCTCCTCAGAGCAGTGCTGCCCTTAGCCTGTAAGGGTGCACAGTCCCTGCTGTGCCCTCAGCCTCCACCTCTCATGCCTGCTGGCTTCTTCTCTACCACCTCCTCAGTTCTGGCATTTTTTAGGTATCTGTTTGCAAATCGAGGTCCTTGATCACATGAGTCCTAAGATGGCCTTTCCCCACTTCCACCCACAGAACTATACTAAGGGCGGGAGCAGGTCTGAGTTGTTACTTTAAGATTAACTAGTGAAAGGGTTACTTTCACTGAGGAGGGCAGAGCCACAAACAACTAGAGACAAATACGTCCGACAAATACGTCTTCTTGGGAGAGCAAGGAACAGAACCATGTCCTGAGGACCCTGCTTTACACACACACACACACACACACACACACACACACACACACACACACACCCAGGATGACAAGGTTCCAGCTCCGGGACAGGTTGGAAGCTGCATGCCCTATGCTGCGGACACAGCTGTAATTGTTTGATTCTGAACAGCTTCCTAAATATTTCCAAGCACCAGCCCTGGACATAAAACAAAACAAAACAAAAACAAAAAGCTTATCACACCCTCAAACACTGCTGCATGATTTTAATAACAGCATTTCTGGAAGAATGCTGACATGATCCCTGTTTGTAGGTAACAAGAAGTTGGCTTTCTGAAGTGCGCTAATAAAGCCAGGTAATGTCAGAGGGCAGGGTATGTGTTTTGCTGAATTTAATTGATGCTTCTTTTCAGACAGTAATTAAATGGTAGGAAACTGTTGTCAGTGGGCTAAGAACACACACACACACCATCCAGGCATCTATCTGTCCCCACCTGCCACCAGCAGGAAGTGCATTTCATAGTCATTTGATAACTTGATTACTGACTGCCTCCTAACCAATATAAGTTCCTTGAGGGCTGAGAGAGTTTGGCTGTCTTTTTCATCATGACACATCGGATCCCTAGAAAAGTGCAGGCAGGTAGATGTGTGCACTTGCTAAATGAATGAGGCAATGAAGACATTAGCATAGAAGGCTGTTTTGTGGAATTTGTGAGGGTCGAGTGCTTTCTTTCCTGTTTACTCAACACAAGATTAGAAAATAAGACAGAATTTACATACTGATGAACATGATGTGTCTCAGCTCTGTGTGCGTGTGTGAGAGAGAGTGTGTGTGTTTCCATGTCTGTGGGCTATATGTATCTATATGTACATGATGGCCAGAGGTCAGTGCTGAGTATCTTCCTTAGTTGGTCATCGTTCTTTAATTTGATGTGTGTTTTACCAGCATGTCTCCTGAATCTCCAAAGCCAATGGTGGTGCCATGGACCTAAGCAGAACCCCACAGCCTGCCATGCATCTCACACATGTTTTGAAAAGGACAGGCCATCTTGGGCTAAGCTATACATGTCAAACGTATGTTCTAAATTATACCACTCTCCATGGTGCTACCTGACCAACTATGGCCCACATCTTCACTTGTGATCTTATTGAAACATACCATGACAATCTATTGCTGTTTCTATGTCAGTCTTCCAGGAAATATTCAAAACAGAAAACAATGAATTTTCAAAGTTTCTAAGTGACTCAGATAAGCAATAACTTGCTTCATTCTCTTAATACATTGAATTTATTTGTACGTACATTCTGATTTGGATAAAAGGACCGTGGGAACTTCACATCAGTCTGTCTACAGCCTACCAAAGCACTGCTAGGCTTTCTATTACATATCATTTTATGCAAACTCTCATCTCCCTTTTCTCCTGTCTTTTGGTAGTCACAATGTTTCTATAATCACTTTGGTAAATTTAAAGGCATTACTCAATGTCCAACAGAAAATAAAAGTTACAGCTAAAATTAAATCCCTGTCCTCAGATACACTTCTCAAAACAAGCACATGGCAGGGAAGACTAGTTTAGTATTTTGCTGAATTTCATTAAATTCCATTTCTTACATGAATTTAACGATTTTCATTTATCACAAATTCACTGAAGGTTCAGTCTTGGAAATGTAGATAACCAAGCCTGAAAACTCAGGGTCCCTGTACTGTATGGAGGAGCTGTCCACACTGGTCAGTGAGCTAAGTAAAGCATCGTGCTTTCCCCCGGAAGTAGCCATTAAGTTCAGGGTCCTTGTCCCAAGCCTTGTCCCACTGTCATCTGTTTCTCTACAGGCTCCTTACTTTCTCCTGTGTACTAAGGCAGATGGAACAGGAAGGGAGCAGAGTGCATAGACATCTCCACTCCTAGGCAGGCTTGGGAGGCAGTGGCAGGCAGATTAGTGTGAATTTGAGGCCAGCCTGGCCTACAAAGCAAGTTCCAAGACAGCCAGAACTACACAAAGAAATCCTGTCTCAAAAAAACAAAAACAAACAAACAAAAAACAAAACAAAAAAAAAAACGAGGAGGAGGAGGAGGGAGGAGGAAGAAGAAAAAAGGAAGAATAGAGAAGGTTGAGGAGAAAAGGAAGAGGAGAAGGAAGAAGAGGAGGAGGAAGGAGAAGAAAAGGTTCCTTTGCTGGGGGTGGGGAGAGCATGGTGTTGAGGGAGAAAGAGAAGGGTTGTTACATTCTTTTAAAGTAGGACATTTTTCCAGATAATTTGTTTTTTGAAAAAGAACTGCTCAATACTGAATACTATGAAGTTGACATGTTTCCTGGGTATCTAATCACACGGAGTATATAAAGTTATCAGTACTTACGGAGTTTATATGTGTGACTATCAAGAGTTCTATGAGGTATATGTACTCACCTGGGGTGGCAGGGTATGTATTTATATGAGGCATATACATCTATGGTTACTGGAGGTAGGTATGTTTATCTGAAGCTATCTGGAGCCTGTCTGGTTACCTGGTATGATGTGGAGAGAAGATGTTGAGGAGAAAATGGTGGCTCAAATCGGTGGTGGGTAAGAGAGGGGAATGGGGATGGGTTGAAAATACACACATGGGCTGTGTATTCTGAAGGAGCGTGAATGAATACAGCAGTACCCATACCCGTAACCGTCTTGGTAGGAAGGGGGCTGTGCTCAAGTTCTGATTAATGATAACTCAATGCAAATTTCACCTTTCATCACTCTTGTGCCCAAAGGCCCAAGTTATTTTTATAGATGCAAGACCCCCACGCACTCAAAAGGAAAGGAAAAGTCAATGCTTTTTACACATTCCAGCGTGTCCCTTAAGGGGCAGGAAGTCCTGAGGAACCAGGTGCATCTGGCGGCAGAGCCTGAAGCTGGCGTAACCAGGCATGCCGATGCTTGGCGCGGCCTCTAGGTGGCGCGAGTGGGTTTGCAGCGTGGGGACGCCTCTCCGTCCGACTGTTTGTAAACTCTCACACACTAGACTAGGAACAGTCAAGAGAAAGTTCCCGGGAGCCCTTCAGAGTAGAAAGTTAGCGGGGCTGGCGGCAGGGGTGTGCCTGGTCGCTGTCACCGGCTGGCTCCGGGATTGTGGAGCACCTGCTTCTGAGAGGACGCGGAGGACGCCTGTGAAACCTGCCCGCCATCCCTTACTGCTTCCCTTCTCCGTAGACCCATCCTCTGCGGCGAGAAGCTGACTTCACTCAGGCACCAGGTAAGCCTGGTCCTTCACTTTTGGTTTTCCGTATTCTTCGACTGTGGACAAAACCAAGGTGTCCTTGGCTAGGAAGAATCCCGGATCCCAGGTACATTTTTGAAATGCATGTCATTTTTGGGTTGTGTTTGGACAAGCGTTACTGATTACTGTGTGCTACAAGTTCGCAGACCTGAGGTTGTTCCTTTGTTGTGAAAACATCAGAAATCCCATTCTGCTGTTGAGTGCACTTTAGTTAGAGCGCCAGATTGTGTGTTGCACACTGTAGTATTTGTGCTACCAAAACAACACGTGCTGCCGTCCGGGGAGAAGAACGGTATTTCTCCCGCTTGCTCAGGAGACTGGCTCACAGAAGAACGCAAGCGGCATCTGAGACCCTGCCTGTCCCCAGGGAAGTCTCAATGTCCTAAGAGACCAGTCAGGCAGGGGTTCTAATCAAGTCTGAGACCTAATATCATAGTCCTGTGTTGTCAGAAGAGAGGGAAGGAGTGTGTCGGCAGGTCTTTGTGATACTGGAGGTTTTTATTTCTAGCCAAAGTTTCTCTCAGGGTTCTGAGGCACCTGGGGTGGATGGACCTCATGCACAGGGTAGGGCTTCATTTTCCAGATTTTGCATGAAAGCAAAGGCAGGGCAAAATGTGTGCTCTCAGGGCAGATGGGACAGCAGGTAAGGTCACTGCTAGAGTCTGCAGCTATGTTGCTCTGGAGTCATCACAGGGGATAGCTAAGAGTGGTGACAAGAGCGGAAGCCCTGGTCAGTCAGGGTGCTGAACAGTCAGTAGGACACATGCCCACTTCAGGACTGAAATTAAAGCATGGAGAGAGGAGGTGGAGTGTGGCAGGGTTGACTTCTCCACTTCTTCAGTGGGCCATACCCTGCTGTTTTAAAGTGACATTTGGGGACATTTTCAAACCCAGAGCAAAACTGAGGTTTGTTCAAAGTATCCAAGATGCAAAAGGGCATAAAGGATGGGAAAAGGAGATGGTCACTTAAAACCTTTATAAAGATACGTTTTGAGAGAGTGACTTAGGGAGACTTAACATTAGGAAATGTCCCGGGTGTGTGTTGTGCCTCTTGATATTTGTTCCTCTCTGTCCGTTTGTGATGGCATTGTTGGAGGGTAGTCCTAGAAGGTCACATTCTTTGGCAGGAAAAACTAAACAGAATTTTGCTGAAGTAATATGCCTACTCTCAGTTCAGTTGGTTGGGATTTGTTGTTGTTTTGTTTAGTTTTTGCTGAAGAGATGTATAAAGGGTCCCACCCAGATTCTTTAAGATACTGCATAAGGGACTGGCATTCAGCAGGAGTTGTACTTCAGTTTTGAATTTGTATCCTTTCTCTGGCTGGTGAAACACACTTGTTTCTGGATGCTGATCAGCAGCAGAGGCAGCCACTGTTCTCCAGAGTAGGAAAGGGTGACAACTGATAGACTGTAGGGTGCCGTGGTGCCCAGTCATGAAGCTCTGCAGGTTACATGAATTGGGGGAGGGGGACTAATAACACTTTCTATTCTCTGCGAGTCTTTTGAGAGCGAGTGTGCTTGTGAAGATCCGTCAGCTCTCTCCTGTCAGATCTCTCCTGTCCTCGCACCCAGCTCAGTGCTGCCACTGTGAGGCTGCCCCACATGTGCCCCCTGTCTGCAGGGTGCAAACCCAGGTTGATTCTTTTAACTCTGGAGCATCTCCTAAAGGAAAGGTCCCTTCAGTCCCAAGGGGTTACACAGAAGCCAGGCAGCTCACATTCCTTCTGGGACTATGGCAGTGTGCTTTGTGGTTTCTAAAGAATGGAATTTATTCTCAAGGAAAGGCCCAGGAACCCAGCTTCAAAGACTCAAGCAAATCTGAAATTCAAACACAGGAGCTGTAAACAGGATGGCATTTTGGCAGCCAGCCTCACTGCTTAAATGGCTCAGCCCTAGGCTGGCTTGGTTTTCCCTGGCCTGCCCAGCAGCTTGGTGCATAACCCTTAGCAGCTCTACTCTGGCCTCTCTTCCCTCAATTATCCTAGATGGCACCTGCCTGTTTGCTCCTTTGATGCTGTTTTGGGTTTTGCATTAGCTAATTCCACTCACCAATAGCATCATTAATTAACCCACATTAAACTCACTGAGCAATTAGGAAACAAAAGCTCCAGCCTTCACCTCCATCATCCACCTTCCAGGCAGTCCTTAAATTTGAACATTTTAGGCAAGACTCTTATTTGATCTACAGGATCATTATTCCCTTTCTGATGAAGCAAAGAGCTCTGGGGAGATGGCTTGAGTGGATAACTCACTTACTGCACAAGCACAGAGACCAGAATTTGGATCCTCAGAGCCCAAACACCTGCTGAAGTGGAGGCAGGGAAATCTCTTCGGCAATAGCTAGACTAGTTAAGTGATGAGCTCTGGATTCAGCAAGGAGATGGGGCTCTAGTAATAGAGAACGGCTGAGGAAAACGCCAGGATGTCAGCCTCTGGCCTTCACAGACACACAGACCTGTGAGCCCTCATTCATTTAAAGCATTTGTATGCATGTTCTCCCTGTTTTCCACAGATTCGAGGCTCAAAGAAGTTCTCTGACTGTCTAAAGCCACACAGCCACATGAGGACACTCATGGCTGTGTTGGGTTGAGCACAGGCATCATGCTGACATGTAACTTGTAGCTGGGGCTTGAGTTGGGGCTGGAACTTGGCCTGTGCATGTGAGGAGACAAGCAATGTCAACCACCAATGCTAGAGTGAGCAACACAACTCTCAGCTTCATACATTTTTAGTTGCCATGGTAATGACAACCCCAGTCAAACAATTCCTCACTTCCTGCCCTTATCACATGGGGGCCAAGATGAACTATTGTGACAAAGACATGGACACTGGAGAAATAGTGGAGAATTTGGAACTTTTAATAGTTTAAGAAAAAAATTGTCACAAATAGGCAAATGCAGATTGTTTTGTCTTATATGATCAATAACTAAGAAATTTTCAAAATGGATTGGGGTTCAGGCAACCCAATTCATTGGCTTCTTTTGATACAAATGAATGAGACTTCACTGTATTTAACATTTAACTTTCAATACCAGTACTTGACCTGGGGTGTCATAAAGTCTTACTCAGAGTACTTATGTCTGTACAATCAAAGGAGGGAGGCAGCTTTGTCCTAGGGTTTGGCAGGTTAGTCATTCATCCAATGTGTGTTTGGAGGTTGTCTTAGTTAGGGTTTCTGTTACTGTGAAGAGAACAGTATGGCCATAGTTACCATGGCCAACAGTTACCATGGCCATAGTAACTCTTATTAAAGAAAACATTTAATTGGGGCTGGCTTACAGTTCAGAGGTTTAGTCCATTATCATCATGGTGGGAAGCATGGTGGCATGCAGGCAGACCTGGTGCTGGAGAGGAAGCTGAGAGTTCTCCATCCAGATTCACATGCAGCAGGGAGAGACTGAACCATTAGGCCCAGCTTGAGCTTCTGCGTCATTTATATCGAAGTTATCCTAATCACACATGGGACAAGGTAGACTTCTCACACATCCACACAACCTAAGATACTGAGAAAACCAGTCCCAGCTGTCAAAGATCTCCTTTTCATGGACAGAGCATCTGTTCAGTATGGCTAGCTCAGTTCTCATAGTGTGAGACAGCCTGACTCCCCAGGTGGAACATGAAATCACTGAAGATGTTCATCCTTGGTGGCTCTGAAAGTGCCTTTAGCATACGACTAGCCAAGAAGCCTTTCTTCTCCACTCTTAACATATGAAGTAACAAGCCTGGTGGAGCAAAATGCACCTGTGTTGATAATCTCCAGCCACATACTCAGCAAGCTTTGTATCCAGCCAGTAAGCCAAACTGCTCCACAGAAGGAACCTTGAACAGTGAATCATAGACAGCACATTAGCAGTGCCTGTAAGAGCACCACACCAGGACATGGGAGCCACACTGAGCTAAAGATCAGGAGATAGTTCAGTTAGTAGAGCACTTTCTCTTTTTAAAAATTTATTTATTTATTCACTTTACATCCCCATCATAGCCACCTCCTTCCTTTCCTCCTGGTTCCACCCTCTCTACCTTTTCCCCCATCTCCCCTTCCTTATTCCTCAGAAAAGGAGAGCTCCCCCTAACCAGCCCACTTCAGCTCATTAAGTTGAATCAGGACTGAGCACATTCTCTTCCCCTGTGGCTTGATAAGGCAGCTCCACCATGGAGAAGTGATTAAAAGCAGGCAATAGGAGAGGGAGAGGATAGATGGACCTGGAGGTGACAGGAGCTTCACAAAAAGACCAACATAGCCAACTAACCAGGGTCCAGAGGGGCTTGTGGAGACCATGCATGGACTGGGCCTAGGTAGAATGCTTTCTTAACCTGCTCTCTGCCAGAGGCTCAGTCCTCAGCACCATGTCAAACATGATTTGGTGATATGTGCTACAGTCAAGCATGTGGAAGATAGAGGAAGATGGGTCAGAAGTGCCATGGCACCCTTGCTTACATACTGAGTTCAAGGTCAGCCTGTACTACAAGAGACAGGGGTTGGGGGAATTGCTGTTAACAGATACTATTTGATATCTAGATACAAGCTGCTAAAAGACATGACAAATTCTGAAATAAATCTCCTGAAAATAACAGAATTTTGCCAATCACCTAAATCCTGGCATAAAATACTTTGTTAAAAGACACACAGACTAGATAATAAATGGAAAATGAGGTGTCCCGATTTTGGTGGCAATCAGACCATTACCAAATCTCTTCTCTTAAAAGCTCCATGTTGAGATGGCTATTTGGCAATTCTATTTCTAGTTTTGTGTGAAGCCACCAGACTACCCATAGTGGCTCTACTACTGGTTCAGTCATGTGGCCTAAAAGCAGAAGCAGGCACTATTGGGGGAAAGGATGGAAACACAGAACATGTGTGTATAGAAGGGTATACATTACTTTTTATTCCAACTTAAAAATAACTTTAACTGGGTGATGGTGGCACATGTCTTTAAGGCCAGCACTTGGAAGGCAGAGGCAAACAGATCTCTGTC